ATATATAAAAAACTTACAAATTTTTTATGTTCTTACAATTTGAATATTGAAATAAAAATTATATTGGTATACAAAAAAATATGAGTATAAGATAATTCATTTCGTAAAAAATAAATTAATACATGTATAATATAAAAACTTAAATGGAAATTATCGAGATATAAGAATAGATCTATTGTTATTTTTCTACAAAGTGATTGTAAAAAATGGAAAATTATTTAAAAAAAAACTGATAGAATAATTTCTTACCTCGATTAATTCAAACATGACTGGCTGACCTATGAAATCCTTACATTTGGCTTCAGCATCGGATTGCATCAATTTTACCGTATCCTCGTCCAATCCTCTTGGATTTCTTAAATTGATAATCGGCGAAATGTCGGGATAACCCGAGGGTAATCGTACAATCAGTGTGACACAAACATATTGCGATTGTGAGTCCTCGCCAGTTGATGGAAATAGTATCGTTTCTATATATTCTGGCTCTCCTCTAGACATAATTAATTAAGAATATGTCAAAAAAGAATATAAATATAATTATTTAATTAAATAAAATTATAATTATCTAGCTAACAATGTATAAATTTTAGTTGCATAATATTATCCCTCATATACTAATTTAATAATCAGAATTATTCATATTCATTTCAATGAAAAAATATAAATTAATACAAATTCTTAACTCTGCAAAAAAAAATACATGGCGAGCTTACAAAGTTGATTTAGATACTTAATAAGAAAAGAAATGCAACTCTATTTACTGTTAAATATTATTAAGTCTAGCATTGTATTTCGGAAAATATTATATATGCCAAAAATATTAATTATCTATTTTTGTTTTGTATTTTTAGTATTACTAAATCTTTAATTATCAGCTATTAAGTAAATAAATATTAATATTTAATAAAATATTTGCTAAAAAATTTTCATTTCTCATAACCAGACAAAAAAATCTTCGACAATCAAACTGAAATTAATTTAAACTGTGTACAATACCATACATTAATTTACATTAAGTATATAGTTTACATTTAAATTATAAAATATTAATATTTTGTATAAAAATATATATAGGCGAAAAAAATGAATAAAATACACACAAAAATAATATGTATACGAATTCATTTAAACCTATATTGCTTAAAAAAATAGAAATATGTATGTGTATATTATATATATAGTACGCACTGTTTATGACAAAATGAATCGAAAAGTCCTCTATCATTTTGCAATAGTCGCAACAGTTAACGATATTAATTTTTTTAAATTGTCCAATAAACGGGTAAAATCGATTTATGTATATATATTGTATGTTGTAAAACAACATTAAAATATCTTTCAAAGTTTTTATAAAATATCTCAAAAATATTTCTTAAAGAACTTTTAAAGATATTCTAAAGTTGTTTTATGCAATTTAAATCTTTTGCTTAGGTATATAACAAAAAAATTATGAAAATTGCAAAATGTAAAGGACTTTTCGATT